ATTGATTTGGGTGAAAGAAGGGCAATGTGCCAAATCTGAATGATCAACACAGTGGCATTGAGGAAAAGGAAGAGGGAGAGAGGTGCATGGAAGATATAGACAATAAAAATGAACCCTTTTGCACATATAGTACTGCATTGTCAGTGAAGGCAAACATTGATATACGGGTGAATAGATGGATGGATAGGCTGAACTATTAAGTATGTCTATGCAGGGGAGAATGTGGCCATGACCATGTATAGGGTTGGCAGACAATGTTTCTACAAGTGTATTTGTGTATTCTGTAAGAATTCCCAGGTATATAGTAGAGCTGACAAGGGACAAGGTTGTAGTCACTCCTTGGCCACAGCCAGCTACCCAGAGGGAGCGAGTAGTTAGACCTGTGGTCTTGGACCACAGTCACAGGGGACATCAAGCTCAATTGGCATAACATTGTTCCACATCTTACTTTGGTGAGTAGTGACTGGGATCTTAATAGCTTGTGTTCTGGTTACCTAGTGTTGCTCTGACAGGAATACACTACAAATGGGATAGCTTGAACAAACAAGAGTTTATTCTCTTACAGTTTGGGAGGCTAGAAGTCCAAGTTTAAAGTGCCAGGCTTAGGGGCTGGTGGAAGCCCCTCAACCTTGGGCTTCAGCTCTGCCTCCTGCTCTCAGCCCAGTGGAGCTAGAGCCTTTTCTTCACTCAGACAGCTGCTGGCTGCTGAGACTGACAAGCCCAAGGTTGACAAGTAAAAAGGGACAGTCCCGATGTTACCAAACCACACAGCAGGCCATTAATTCAAGTCCATTGAAAGTCCAAAGGTCAGCAGAGCATGGTAGGCTGCTGAACAACAACATGGCTACATGCAGGGTTCAAGAGTGCCATAAGCAGAGACCATTCCCAAAGCCACTGCTTATATACAGGAAGCAGACCACATTCCTAAAGCAGCTAGTCAGCTGCTTTAGGTGGTAGATCCCACCATGGAGTTGATTGCCAGTCTCATCATGGGGAATAACTACCACCAGCTGCCCAGCCACTCAACTAGGCCCAGACCAGTTGACAACAACCTTAACTACCACAGCTTGCAAGTGGCCATCTAGATGCAATGATGGGTCTTTCCTCATCCATGCAGTCCTCAGCCTATACAAGTAGGAGAGCAGAAGAACTAGATGGTGCCAGGCTACCACTGTCAACCACTTGGTGGGGGGGATCTATGTAGGAGGAGGTCCTGGATAGAATGGAAGGACAATGTGAAATAAAACTCAAAATCATTTTTTAAAAAAAGGGAGGGGGGACCAGGTTTGCCGGTCTGATAGAGCCTGGTGGAACCGCTGAGACTATGGCCCTTAACTCCCTTCAGATCTGGAACTGAACCCACTCCTGTGGCTTCCAGCCAAACAAAAGACAGGCATATGAGCTGATCATTTACATTAGATAGATACACTCCTTGGAGAGGTCGATCATGAGAGAATAGAAGGGCTGTGTATGCACAGGAAGACAGCTCAGGGGGCAGGAGTGCATGGGAGGGAAGGATACAGGGAAGAGGTAACTATGGGGAGGAAGTAGGAAAAGAACTGTTGCACTGTGGGAAATTGTAGTCAATGTCATGAGATAAAGTGTATATGAGTGTATGGAAAGAGAATTTGCTCTATAAACTTTCACCCAACTCACAATAATTTTTTTTTTTTTTTTTTCTTAAAAAAACCTCTTTAAAGTGTGAGAAAAGCAAAGATGTCACTTTGAGGACTAAGGTGCATCTGACCTAAGCCATGGTATTTTCAGTCACCTCAAATGCATGCAAATGAAAGACCAAAGAAGAATTAATGCCTTTGAATCATGGTGTTGGTGGAAAATACTGAATATACCATGGACTGCTAGAAGGATGAACAAATTTGTTTTGGAAGAAGTATAGCCACAGTGTTCCTCAGAAGCAAGGATTGCAAGGCTTTGTCTCATGTGCTGTGGGCATGTTATCAGGAGGGACCAGTTCTTGGAGAAGGAACAACTCAATGGTACCTAACAACAACAACAACAACCTAGAAAGTAAAACAAATGAAAAAACTGAAGCAAGTATTAATTCCAGGGAAAACAGAAAGTTGTAGAACAAAGCAAATGTAATTCTACTTTCTGTGGCATAGCCATTTATAATATTTACATTGTCACCATAATATAACATTGACTATTGGTTTAACCAGAATGGATGATATCAATAAATTGGGAAGATGAAAGGACTAAACTTAGAGGTATGTGTGCAATAAGAGGTATAAAAAAACAAAATTCATGTCCCTAAATCTTTATGGAGTCAATAAGTAGTATCTAAAAATAAAAAAAGAAGACTATGCAGTATAATAAGGTGCTTGAGAAATATGGAGGTAACTATCAGAAGAAACAGCTGAAAGAGAAGGTGTTTGTGTCTGGGAGTAGTTAGCATAAGAGGGAAGGGGTAAGGCCTACATTTTAACTGGGGTAGTGGGAGGCAACTCAAGGGTCACAAGAAATAAAGTAAATTAGGTAATACGAGTTGATTAATGCTTTGGAAAAGGAAACAGTAGAGGAAGCTCAAGGAGACGGTGAATGGCGAAGGGAGGTTGTCCAGGTGCATCTCCTTGAGAAGGTGACATGTGAGTTACATAAAGACTTCCATGTAATGACATAGAGTGGCATGATGGAAAGGACACTACTCTTGGAGTCACGAGTCCTGAGTTTTTACCCTGCCACTAACTCATGACAAGGGGAAAGTTATTTCCCTTTTTGAGTTTCAGTCTCAGTGATATGATTGGATCATTGGCTCTCAACCTTGGCTGTCCATTAGAAACACCTGAGAGGCTTTTAAAAAAGAGTTACCCAACATGTCTCAAACTTATTGTCAAGTAACTCAGAAAAAATATCTATATATCTCTACCGCTATATATCTAAAAAGGAGCTCTGGTGGTATAGCGGCTTAGGCATTTGCCTGCTAACCAGAAGGTTGGTGGTTTGAACCCACCAGCCACTCCATGGAAGAAAGATGAGACAGTCTGCTTCCATAAAGATTTACAGCCTTGTATGAGTTGGAATACCCACCAGCTACTCCTCAAAAGGAAGATGGAAGAATCTACTTCCATAGTGATACTGCCTCAGAAACCCAAGGAGGGGTCACTATGAGTCAGGTCTGACTTGATGGCACATAACAGCAACAACAACATGAGTTGGAATCAACTTGATGACAGTGAGCTTGCTTTTTTTTTTCAATTTAAAGGGAGGGTGGTAATTGAGAAAGAGATGGGAAGAGAGGAGAAAGATTCCCCAGAATCTGCCCTCTATGTCACAACTTTCAGAATATGGACTAGCTATTGGGAAGGTTACTAACTAAACTAACTCACTGCTGTCGAGTTGGTTCTGACTCATAGTGGCCCCTCTTTGGGTTTCTGAGGCAATATCTCTATGGAAGTAGATTGCCCAGTCTTCCTTCCAAGGAGTGGCTGGTGGGTTTGAACTGCCAGCCTTCTGGTTAGCAGTCAAATGCCTTAGGCACTATGTCACCAGAGCTCCTAATTGGCAAGATTAGGAAATTATTAATTGCTACTCACCATATGTTGGACATACTCTTTTACTGGAATCATTAGGTTGCAAGAATTACACTTGATTCTATTCACAGCAGCTGGCATTCTCTTCCCTGAGAAAACGCAGAAACACCACCACAAATTATGCCCCTGACAATGGTGAGCCCACTCATACAACTGCTTATATGGTCTGTACTCACAAGTATGAACTGCCCTTGGGACTGGCGGGTTGAGAGTTTCCTGCATTCCCAACATCCTCAGCCACAAGGGTACCCTTGCCTGTACTACCTGTATCACTTCCTTTAAGGCTCCAGATGTGTACTCAGAGCAGAATTCAATCCTGAAGAGACATTTTTCTGGAGCAGGCTAGGTTTCTAAGGAGATACAGGGACCTTTAAGCACAGATGCCAATCTTGTCCAATCTGACTGCTTTTTTATTCCACCAGTTTCCAAGCTCCATGACCAAACCGGGTGTTGAGTGTACACATCTTTGTCAATTGTACACCCTTGGTGGATGCTGGCATGAAGGAAATGCAGATGAATCCCATGCTTTCCAGTTTTTCATTTGCCAATTTTGACCCTGGGCAGATTGTTTACCAGGAGAGATATATTGTCCAAAGTGTTATAGGCTCTCTCCACATGTTACCATGTTACCAAAACAACCAGTGGAGTCAACAGAAAATCATCACATTGATGACTTATGACCTTGGTAAACACACCCTCATAAAGAGGTAACTGGGTCAAGAGAACATGACATGGTTCCAGGAAGCCAACACATAAACCCAAAGATCAGTGGCTGCAGCTGGCTCCCTTCTGTCCATTGCGGACCATGTCCACTGGTGTTGTGAAACGGGTGCCCAGTCTTACTTCTGCCTCTAGCAGGCCCCTGTATCATTCTACATGTAAGGTTCTCACCTGAAAAAGGATATTAGGTGAGTGGGAAGATTTCTGCCACATTGGAATTGTGTTGTGGGGTTTTAAATGGCCTCTCATTTTTAGGGCCTGTCATTGCCTCTGCACTCATCTGTGTGGCTCCTAGGCACCCATTTCCTGGCCTCCTGGTCTCCCTGGACTGGTCATTTGAAGACCACAGAAGACATACAAGAAGGCCACTCTAGGGCATGGTCTAGAACTAAAATAGCCAACATGTCCACTACGTGAGTCTGAGATATACACAACAAAATACCCTTGTCATCTGTCCTGTTGAGACTTTACATTCCTTGCATCTCATCCAGTGGAGGCTTTACTCCCTGAAACTTCCCTATGCCTTTCCAGCCCATGCTTCTCACCTTTTCTGGGCTGGGCCTGTTTCCCCTGACAGGTGTCTTTGTGGCTGGCCAGCTCGTGGAGCAGGATGAACTGGTTGCAGTGAGGACAGTGCTTGGTCCGGCTGCCACAGTGGTACTCGTGGCTCTCCAGCTTGCTGAAGGCCATGGCCAACTCACAGAACTTACATTCAACCAAACGCATCTGGCATTCCTTGGTCTATGGGAAAATAGGCAGAAAGGGAATAATCACTGCCCCTTAGATTAGAGGCAGGTCAGAGACATGAGCCTGTCTCCCCGGGAAATTGAAGCCAAACAGAAAAAGTAGATGGGATGGTTCCGAATGGGGACTGCCCTCAGGAAGTACAAGCTCTGGTGGGCTCATGGACCATGGCCAACCTTTCTGACCAAAGTCTGGGGTCAGGGGGACTTGTGTCCCTCTGGTGGGTTAGCTCTCCATTACTCTCAGAGCCAACTTGGGCAAGAGGAGGTGGCCAGGGAAAAATTATTATTAGCTTCCTCTCTCTTGTCCCTCTCCTCTTCCAGGTTGTACTTGTTTGGCTATAAAGGAGAAATCACATGTGAATCTCACCTCATGAACCTCCAGCAAATGCTTCTGCATGTTCTGCTGACACATAGCACATTCAACCTAAAGACAGAGAGAAACATGTGTTCCACTCAGCACTTATAGCTGTTCCCCACACCTGCCTTGGCCCACAGAGTTTTAGGTCTGGGTCTGTAAGCTCCTAGAGGGCAGGGCTCAAGTGTGTTTATCTCAGTCTCCCTGTAGCCCCCAGCCCAGGATTCACGAATGTTTGCAGGACCAGCATTGATCACGGATAGATAGATGGGTAGACAGGCTGAATGATCAGGTATGTCTAGGCAGGGGGGAGTATGCCCATGACTTTGCATAGAATTGACAGATGATGTTTCTACAAGCATATTTGTATGTGCTGTAAGAATGTCTGGGTGTATAGTAGAGCTGACAAGGGACAAGGTTGTGGTGACTTCTTGGTCACAGCCAGCTACTCTGATGGAGCGAGTAGTTGGACCTGTGAACTTGGGACCATGATTGCAGGGGACATCAGGCTCAACTGGCATAGCATACTATGCAAAAACGTTGCTCTACATCCTACTTTGGTGAGTCACAACTAGGGTCTTAAAAGCTTCTAAGTGGCCATCTAGATGCAATGACGGGTCTCTCCTCATCCAGAGCAAAGAAGAATGAAGAAAAGCAAAGACACATGGAAACAATTAGTCCAAGGGACTAGTAGACCATGTGATCCTCAGCCTATAAAACCATGAGACCAGAAGAACTAGATGGTGCCCGGCTACCACTGTCAACTACCTGAAGGGGGATCAGTGCAGAGATCCTGGATAGAGTGGGAGAACAATGTGGAACAAAACACAAAATCATTTAAAAAAAAAAAAAAAAAAAAAGGCCAAGTTTGCTGGTCTGGTAGAGCCTGGTGAGACCCCTGAGACTGTGGCCCCTAGTTACCCTTCAAGTCTGGAACTGAACTCATTCCTGTGGCTTCCACCCAAACAATAGACAGGCATGTGGGGTGAACACTTACATCAGGTAGATACACTCCTTGGAGCGATCAACTGTGGGAGAACAGAAGGACTGTTTGCACAGGGAGACAGCTCAGGGGGGCAGGAGTGCATGGCAGGGAAGAACACAGGGAAAAGGTAACTACAGGGAGGAAGTGGAAAGAGAGCTGTTACATTGTGGGGAATTGCAGTCAATGTCATGAAATAAAATGTGTATGAACTGCTGTATGGAAAATGAATTTGCCCTATAAACTTTCACCCAAATCACAATAAAAATTTTTTGAAAAAAAAGAATGTTTGCAAGACCAATTGAGTTGACATGGATGTCTGACCTTGAGAATCTCAAGAAAGACACCCTGGGAGGAACTGATGAAATAGCAGTCAAGAAAAATCAGTTGGGCCTAACTGCCTCCTAGAGCCCTCCTTCCCTGTTTCCCTTCTTCTCAAATCTCCATAGAACATTAAACTTTTCCTGAAATGGCACCCTCTTGCCTTGGCCAAACCCATAAGTCTGTAGTGAAAGGACTGAAAATGAGAAAAAGCTAGGGTTATCTTCAGAAAGTTGAACATAGAATTACCACATGACCCAACACACCCAATCCTAGGTATATACCCAGGAGAAGTGAAGGCAGGAGTGCAAACAGAAACCTGTGCACCAACGATCGCTGCAGCACTTTTCACAGCTGCAAAAGGTGGAAACAACTGAAATGGCCATCAACAGATGAATGGATAAACAAAACGTGGCACATACATACAATGGAATATCATTCAGCTATAAAGAGAAATGAAATTCTGAAGCATGCCACAACATGGATGAACCTTGAAAGCATTTTGCTGAGTGAAGTCAGTCAGTTGCAAAAGGACATTGAATTGTAGAAGTAGTTGGGTTTGCTAATGTTTTGGTGTATATATTTTTACCACAATAAAAACGAACAAAACAAAACACGGAGGGTAGACTGGGTTTAGTATGGGAAAGGCAGAATGACTGCTTCCATTTCAGGCTTGGATGTGGCCTGAGGCTTGGAGGGGCTACCTGACTTGCCCATGGCAGCCAAGTGAATGCTACAGTAGGAAGGGCTCTTAGACCTGGTTCCCTGTCCAATGCTCCCGGACCTCTGTCCCTCATCCCAGACCCTCACCTCCTTGTGCATGTTCTCAAAGTGTTCCTCCATCTCCTTTTTGGGGATGGGCTCCTTGCACTCTGGGCAGATGGCCAGGAACCGCACACAGTGGACCTCATGGAGGATGAAGTGGGCAGAGTCCACGCTTCTTTGGCTGCAAAATCAAGAGGAAAAGAAAAGCGGACTTATTTCCAGGTGTGAAATATGGAATCATATTTTGCACCCAGGGCCTAATTAAGATTGTTGGGCAGGAAAGAGAGCAAAGCCTTCTGGGAAGGGTCCACCCTGGTTCCTGCCACAGGTAGGGGCTTTCAAGAGCAAGGCTCCTCAACAGCCAGGCCCCTCTCACAAGTGTGGGCCTGGAAGCCTGCTCTGTGTCCCTCCCTGGGCTCCCTCTGAAGGTCCAGTGCAGAATGGTGGTGGAGAAGCTCTGGTGGGGCCTTTCTTTCAAAGCTTGGTGTGAGGACCAAGTTATCAGAACCCCAAATTCGGAACCAGTGTCTGACCAATATGAGTAGTCCCGTGGGGACAATTAGCCTGGCCATTTGGCTTCAGGACTGTCCCAGAAAATCTAAAATATCTTGGGAGTTGAGGGACAGGGCAGTGAAGTTCATGTAATGTTTACCACCCCTCATACCTCACCCCTGCCCTGGGGCCCATACCACCCTTGCTCTCCAGGACTTTTTCACATAGGGGCTCTTTTCTCCTCCCTTCAGAAAGGACCGCATCATGATTGCGCCTCTCGCTCAGCCTGCCCTCAGTGGGCCGGTGGGACAGGGGATTAGGGACAGCACCAACTTACCAGTGTCTGCACACCTGCATGTCTCCCTCCATGGTCTGATCTCTTGAGTCTTTCTGGTTTCGTTTTTCTTTGCAGACAAGGAAACAAAACTGAAAGTATTCCGGAACTCGGGCTCCAGCTCTAGGAAGGGAGGGGTTTTCCAAATGCTCAGCTCTGGTCTGCTCTAAAGTTTCTGTGGCTGGACACCCCCGGGAGCCCAGCCAGCCTCTGCTGTTTCCCTCAGCCTGTGCTGCTGTCATCTTGTGCTGTTTTCACCTTGTTCAGTTGTCATGGGCTGTTTCTAAGACCCTGAGAATGGAAGCCAGAGGCAAAGCCACAGCCCCACCCCCTGCAGCAGCCCCACCTCTCGCTCCCAGGGCGTCACTCCACCAGTGTCTCTCCTTCCCTTCCACAAACCACTGGCCTCCCACCCCTTCCCCTCTCTCCTGTGCTTCTCACTGGCCCTTCATCTGTAGGAAAGAGGGGGCTGGCCGGGTTGAGTTTGGGCGCTGCTCCCTGAAAGCACCTCCTGGAGCTCCTCCTGCAGCCTGCTCTGGTCCCAATTAGTGACAATTTCAAAAAGGGTTGGCAGAGGACATGGGGAAGCAGGATGGTGTGTGCCATGACTATAGGCTTTGGAGTCACATGCCAGCTCTGCCACTTAATAGTTTGGTGACCTAGGATGACTGCTACCTCCCTGTGCTTCACCTTCATTCGTAAAATCATTACAGCAAACACTAATATATGCTAACTAGGTAGTAGGCATGCCCCCTTCTGTCAGTTTGTCATCCTGTGGTGGCCTTCCTGTTGCTATGATGCTGGAAGCTATGTCACTGGTATTTCAAATACCTGCAAGATCACCCATGGTGCACAAGTTTCCACAGAACTTCTAGACTAAGGCAGACTAGGAAGAAAGACCTGGTGATCCACTTCCAAAAAACTAGTCAATGATAACCTTATGGATCACAGTGGAACATTGTATTGAGCAATGATAGTATCAGGCTTTGGACGCACCAGTGAGAAAAGCCAGTCGCTGAAGGAGGACATCATCTTCGGTGAAGCAGAGGGCCAGTGAGGGTGAGGGAGACATTAGTGAGATGGACTGGCACAGTAGCCAGCAATTTTGAAGATAATTCAGTGCAGGCCTGAGCAAGGTTTTGTTCTGTTATACAGAAGGTCGCTAAGAGACTGGGTCAACTTGACAGCTACTAACAATAACAACAAGGTGAGAGACACTGTGAGGAAGTTTTCATTCTCATTATCCCCTTATTTAGATGCAGAAACTGAGGCAGGGAGGGGCTGTGTAATTTGCACAAGTTACATAGCCAACAGACAGCAGAATCAGGGTTTGAACGTAGACAAGGTGGCCCGAAACTCATTTCTCCTGGAATAGCCACAGAGTCAGGAGACCTAAGATCGAATCCTGGTCATAGAATTAATCGGCATCCTAAGTAGCCTTAGCCTTTCTGGGCTTCTGTGTTTCCTTGTTTACTGGACTAAACGGGACCTGTGGGATGTAAGGAGTCTAAGTCCTCCCGAAAATTGGGGGCAAACTTGCTTCATGGTAATGTGCCTTTTCCCGGGGAGGATCCAAGTTCTTATTGGACTTTCAGAAAGTATCCACAACCCGTGGATAGTTGTGAAAAATGGGACTAGTTGGCCTATAGGTTTGAAATTCAAAGAAATTGAGTTCGGTTAAAAAGCCATACATGCCCTAAATCAAATATGCATAATTGAATCAAATGATTATGGAACATTTGTAAGTTTTCTACTTGGCTTTTTTTTCTCAAAGAGAGAAGCACAGTGCAATTGGAGAAATAAAAACGATACCACAATGTCTTAGTTTGGTAATATTCTCATAACAGAAATGCCACAAGTGGGTGGCTTTAGAGAATAGGATTTGATTTTCTTTCAGGTCTGGAGCCTAAAACTCCAAATCAGGGTCTTGGCCTTGGATTTCACCTATGAGCCTCACTCCTAGCTCCTGGTGTGGGCTGATGCTTCTGGGTGCTCCATTACTTGTTGCGATGTAGTAAATTACCTGGTATGGCTTTTCTAGCCAGAAGTCTTTGTAAACTCCATGGTGGAATTGGCTGTGAGAAACTGAGTAGCTTCTGATTGTTAAAATCATTTCTGTTGGGAGCAGTACAAAGAAATGTTCTGGGAAGTTGCTGTCTCTCAGGTGCTTAGAATTCTGATTATGATTGGCTTGTTTGGCCACTCTGTCAGGCTCAAAAGGAGGCCTCCTACAGGCCGAGGTCTCTCTCTGACTGTTGTCTGAGAAGGACGTGCTGCTGAGAGAAACACGCTCCTGAGAGAAACGCTCTGCTGGGAAAGAGACGCAAGAGACACGCATTGCTGAGAGAGACACCGAGGGACACGCACTGCTGGGAGAGAGACTGTGAGAAACTGTTGGGTGAGAGACAGTGGGCTAAGAGAGACTGAGCGTTTTTCCTGAACTTGAAATGTAGCCTGGTGCTTCCCTATTAAACCCAATAATCATAATCTGTGAGTTCTGTGTGGCCACTGCAGTGAATTATCGAACCCAGGAGAGAGGTGGTGGGTGCTTTGGGAGGAACTGTTGGTGAAAGGGCTGGAGGGAGGCAGCATGTCTGGCCTTGCAGGAATAGGCCTTGGGCTATTGATGGTGATTGTCTTCCTCTTGTGGGGTTAGAGGAGGTCAGGAGATGTGGCCTCCTTGCCCCTTTAGCATTTGTACACAGGCCTTCACATGACATCTGTCTTCCCTCTGTGTCTAGTCTGCTTTTTTATAACACACTACTCTGAAAGATAAAGGAGCTCTGGTGGCGTAGTACCTAAGGCATCTGACTGCTAACCAGAAGGCTGGCGGTTAAAGTCCAACAGCCACTCCTCGGGAGGAAGATGGGGCAATCTACTTCCGTAGTGATACCACTTCGGAAACCCGAGGAGGGATCGCTGTGAGTCGGATCCCACTCGACAGCAGTGAGTTTGGTTTTTGGTTTGGTTCTGAAGGATGAAGACTCCTCATGAACACAACAAAAGAAAAACTCATTTTTCCAAATGTTGTTGTTGGGCTCCGTCAGACCAATTCTGACTCCTAGTGACCTTGTAGGACAGAAAAGAACTGCCCTGCCCCCATAGGGTTCCCAAGGCTGAAAGCTTTATGAAAGCAGATCCCCACATCTTTTTTCCCTGTAGAGCTGCTGGTGGGTGTGAACCACTGAGCTTTCTGTTAGCAGCCAAGTGCTTAATCACTGCACCACCAGGGCTCATATTTATAAATACAGAGGTTAGGACTTACACATTTCTGTTTTAGGAGCACAATTTAATCCCTAACAAACAGTGTATCTAATAACTCAGTGGAAATTGAAAAGATTTGCAAATAATTGCAGCTCCAGAAGGAACATTTGGGTATTATATACTTCATGTTGTATTTTTTAGGAGATTTAATGTATATTTCTCTTTCCCGAAGTTTTATTTATTTTATTCATAAAAAATCTTTAATTAGCTTTAACATTCACCTTTTTTGCTTATAAACACAGTTAAGATATTAGGATATTGTTTTGGCTCTCCTGTGCCACTCTAACAGAAATACCAGAAGTGAATGGCTTTAACAGACAAGGATTTATTCTCTTACAGTTTAGGAGGCTAGAAGTCCGAGTTCAATGTGCCAGCTCTAGGGGCTGGGTGCAGGCCTCTTGACCATGGGCTCCAGCTCTGCCTCTTGCTCCCAGCCCGCTAGAGCTGGAGGCATCTCTTAACTCAGGTAGCTGCCGGCTCTGAGACTGACAAACCCAAGGTCGACAATTTACTTTTGACAATTTGACAAACCCAAGGTGTCAATTTACATGGCACAGTCCCAGGATATCAAGCAACATGAAAGGCCACTAGTTCAAGTCCAGAAATAGACTCAAGATCGGCAGACAACGTGGCAGGCCAATGAGATGAAGACTTGGCCAAATGTAGGATCCAGATGTGCCAAAAAGCTTGGAAGAGACATTTCTCAAAGCTTCTTATATACTGGAAGCAGACCACATTCCTAAGGTAAGCTACTCAGCTGCTCACAGTAGATTCCACCATGGAGCTGATCACCAGTCTCATCATGGGGAATACTACATCCAGCTGCCCAGCCACTCAACCAGGCCCAGCCACTCAAAACCAGGCCCAGCCAAGTTGACACATAACCTTAAGTACCACAGGTATCCTTGAAGACTTTTTGTTGAGTTTTACCTCTTTCTCTAAGTATTTTAATTTATTTCAACCTTAATAAGCACATCATATACTTAACTTTGAAATATTTGATAAGTATTTGACAGCTGTTCTGGTTACCTAGTGCTGCTCTGACAGGAATATACCACAAATGGGTTGGCTTGAACAAACAGGAGTTTATTCTCTTACAGTTTGGCGGCTTTAAGTCCAAGTTCAAAGTGCCAGGCTCTAGAGGCTGGGTGAAAGCCCCTCAACTTTGGGTTTCAGCTCTGCCTCCTGTTCCCGGCCCACTGAAGCTAGAAGCTTTTCATCACTCAGACAGCTGCTGGCTGCTGAGACAAGGCCAAGGTTGACAAGTAAAAAGGCACAGTCCTGAAGTTACCAAACCACACTGCAGGCCATTAATTCAAGTCATTTGAAAGTCCCTTCTAGGTCAGCAGAGCACGGCAGGCTGCTGAACAATGACCAAGCTATATGCAGGGCTCATGTGTGCCATAAGCTAGAGACCGTTCCCCGAGGCTTCTCCTTATAGCCAGGATGCAGACCACATCCCTAAGGACTCAGCTGCTCACAGTAGATTCCACCATGGAGTTGGTTGCCAGTCTCATCGTGGGGAATACTACATCTAGCTGCCCAGCCACTCAACCAGCCTAGCCAAGTTGACATACAAAATTAACTACCACAGCATCCTAATGCTCTGGGAATTAGCATTCCTGGTACTCAGAAAATCAATAGTTAAAGGGGAACACTATGGGAAGAATAATTAATAATTACATACAACACCTAGCATGGGGCCTGGCCATTTAATGGAACTCTTGGTGCAGGGCAGTAGCTTCCAAACTTGTCTGCACATTGGAATTGC